CCCGTAAGGGTGCGAGAGAGACAGAGCGACAAAAACGACTCTCGGAATCAGTTAGCGGCGGCTCCACCCTTCTCCCCCGCGCTGCCGCGACCGCCAAGGCTCATCGACGGCATCCTGATTGGGGCCTCGCGGTGCACGTGCAGCGCGTCAGCCTCATCGACAGGAGCTGCCAGTCGAGGAGCCGGGAAGAGGACCGGGTGTTACCGCGGGGCGGGGCGGGGCGAGGCAGATGCATCGCATGCCAGGCGCACGCCGCCGCCGGAGCCATCGCCGTCGCCGTCGCCCGCCTCCTCCACGCCGACGAGCATTGGGCTAGGCAGGCCAGACGGCAGGCTACCACCACACCGTTCCGGTTTGAACCGGTGCCGCTCCGAGACCAAGAACCCCGCCCCCCTCAATACCTCGAATGCGCCCACCGAGCCGCATCCACACCGATAGGTGTAAGTTAGTGCCCGGTGCCCGCACCGCGCCGCACCGCCACATCGCCGCAGCGAGTCGCCTAGGTTCCCCAGGTCGACGAGGCGACGCCGCGGCGCGGTGCCACCTGCAGGTGTAGTGGCTGAGAACGGCACAGCTGGGGCGGCCTGGGCGGGGGGCTGGGGCTGGGGCACGTGCGGGCGGCGCAGCTGGCACACCTAGGCGGCCACGTGACACGCCGGGCCTCGGCATGGCAGCGGTGAAGTGTGTGTTTGTGTGTGTGTGTGTGTGTGTGTGTGTGTGTTGTAGGTGTGTTGTGTATGAGTATGTAAGTATACGCCTGTGTGCGCGCCGCCACCCCTGGACGCGGCGTGCGGCGCACGTATACTTGGCACTTGGCATTGGCACGGCGCCCCGCCCCGCCCCGCCCCGCCCCGCCCCGCCCCGCCGCCTCGCCTCGCCTCGCCCCGCCCTCGACACAGTGGCCCGCAGCCTCTGGCGTCCAAATGGGCGCGTTTGCTTCACGTGATTTCGATTTTTGCTTTTCGCGCCATTAGCATGGCTGGTCCGGGCTGAGCCGCGGCCGATCTAATAAGGCCCGAACAGTAATAGGCTTAGAGAGGGGGAGAGGGGGTGGGGGACTTTGCTGCCGCTTTGTTGGCGTGTGCCTCACAGTGCCCTTTACTTTCACTTCCTGTGTTGCCACCACGGCCCTACGGGGCCCTGCTGGGCCCTACGCTACGCCCCACAGGCGACGCCGGGCCAAGGCCGCCGTCGTGGCGAAGGCCGGCGAAGGCCCAGAAGCTGCCGCCCCTTCCGGAGCGGTGCCAATATTAGTTTTCATGGAATTTCGGGTTTCTGGAAACGCTTCGGCCAGAAATATAACGGCGGACGGCGCGGGGAAGGGAGCTCAGCCACAACAACAGCCTGCCGATTAGGCAAAGTCTCGACACGTCTGTTCACCCGGTTGCCTACTTGGAAGGCTGACACGCCGCCACCGGTGTGCGGAGGGTCCGCATTTTTGCCAACGTTCCTGTCATTGCTGCGCAGCGTTGGCTCGGCCAGGACGAGGGTCTCGGTGAGGCCGAGGCCGAGGTGCCCTGTGACTGCGCCCTGCGCCGCGGGACCCTCGTTAAGGTTCCGGGCGTCCCCCCCGGGTCTCCGAGGCCACGAAGGACCAGGGCGCACCAGTTCGAACCAGTTTCATCCGGAATCATCCCGATACCTGCCCAGCCACGCGTTCCCTGGCTCCGCCTGGCTCCGTGCGGCTCAGGAGATCCCTGGGGAACAACAGGGCCTCCTAGGGCAGGGCCGGCGAGGGGAAGGGCGGGCGGTGGGGAGACGCGGCGCCGAGATAACCCAATCAACGCCACGACGACCCGGCCTCGAGTCCAGCGGCCGGATGACGCCGGCCTCAGATTTAGACCCTCGGCGAATTTTGACCCTGCAAAAGGATGCTACTGCTACCCTCGCTGGTTCCGGGCCCCGGAAGCTCGCTGCAAAAGAGGTTCTCATTCGAGGTGCAGCTGGGTCCTTGGTCCTTGAACGGCCACGACGGTGCCCTCCGAGTCGGGTACCTGTTATCCCGGCCCGCCTGCCGCAACAGGTCAGGCGTGCTGACGTCCGGCTGCGTCGTCCTCGACGTCAAGCTGGCGTCTGGCGAGCCATCAAACGGCGCCACGCCACGACAAGCACCCCGAGGCCGCCGTGACCCGTGACGCAGGCCAGGGCCGCCGGCCGGCCAGGGCGCGGCCCCGCGGCCCTCTCTGGAGGAATGGGGCGACGGACGGCCACGCGCGTTTATGGAGACAGGCGGTAAAGACCAGTTTAGCGAGCGCCTCGTTGGCCATGCGAGGCGGAGGGGGGGGGGCGGCTCGTCATGGACGTACCCCCATGGGGTGCATCATGGGGGAGGCCCCGGACCCCGAGACGACGAGGGCGTCGTTCCACTGATTGACTGCGTCCGAGGGCCGAAACGGACACGCAGACGACACGCTCATACACAGACACGCCCACAGCGCGCCCCAAAACAGAGTTGCTGGAAAAAGTTCGCCGGAAAAAATAAAGTTCGCAGGGAAAGTCAATCGATTCTTCTCAAAAATAATAAGCGCTTGCCAGAAATAATGAGGGTCCTTTCACACTGCCCCACAGGGAAGGACGCCAGCAACTTCAGCGTGGCGGGGCGGGGGGAATCGTCGCTTGGCAGGCGGCGACCCCAGGCGTGCTCATCTGATTTTGGTAATTCAATACTTTTCTTTGGTGGGGCAGTAAAGAAAGGGGGAAAGGGGGCGTTTCAAAGCGGCTATGACAGCAGCAGCAGCACTCCCGTTCGAGTGTTTAAGTTCTCTCGTTTTCTGCGCCTTGCTGCCGCCTCCCTGAGAGGAAGACAGGATCCAGGGCGGTTGGGGGAGGGGGAAGGGGGCAAAGAAAAGATGCGCCCCGGATGGCGAGAGCAGGCAGCGTCGCGCGAGAGAGTGTCCCCGGCACTCTCGCAGCACTACACGGCGCGCTCCTTGGAAGCACTCTCCCCATCCCTCTGCCTCGCCTCTGCTTCTGCAGCAGCAGTCTGATTTCGGAGGATCGTTTCGTCTGTCTCTGTCGCACTCATGGGCCGCCCCCTAGGAGAGCGAGAGAGACAGAGCGACGAAGCTGTCCTTCGGACTCAGGCAGCTGCAGCCGCTGCGGAGAGGCCGGAGAGGCGAATGGTGATTTCTGGCCCGAAATTGAGAATTCAAGAAGCGCCGGGTGTGGCGTTGGCACCCGTTTTGCCTCCGTGGCTCTGGAGGCCCTGGAGGCCCTTGCGGTAATGGGACCCGTCCTCCACCTCGTTCTCCAGGCCCTCATCCTCATCGCCGTGCTCATCCAGACCCACTGCTGGCACACTGCTGGCCAGGACAGCGCGCGAAACGGCCCGGGATCCCATCCCAGTTAGCGGTGGAGCGCCAAAAACCGGCGCTGAATTTTTCATCCAAGTTGGAGAGTGCTTCTCGAGCGCCCTCTGTACTTCCCTCTTCTCCGAAGGCCTGCCGAAGGCCGGCAACTTGGACCGGGGTTCGCGAAGTGCTGACGAGGGCCTCGCCCTGGCCTCGCCCTGGCCTCGCCCTGGCCTCGCCCGGGGAAGTAATGAACTGCGGAATCATGCGCGCGTTTCTTTGTGAGGTTCCCCGTTCTTGCGTCTCGGCGGCCAGTGTGGCGTAACTCCCTAACTCCCAGCGGTCCCGGTGCCGGCGAGTAGCGAGGCGAGAGCCCTTACAGAAATGGATTTGTGGAAGGTGGTCGATAAGTGGTACTGCGGACCACTTTTTCGCCCCTTTTCATACCCCTTTTGACCAAAACCACCCACTGCGACCCTCTTCGTTCATTTGAACCCCTTCGTGACCCCGTTTTCTCCTCTCAAAGAGACGAGGGGCCCTTTTCAGTACCCCCTTTTTGCTGCTCAAGCTCAGGGGGTCCTCCAACGGACGTGGACCCCTTTTCTTCACGCGAAGGGGGTCCAAAAAGGGGTGCCTTTGACGCGATGCAGAACGGCGCATGTGATGACTCTCCATGCACGCCACCAAGTTGCTATTCAGAGGAGTGACGGTCACGATGTCGCGGCTTTCCAAGTCCTGCAAAGTCCTGGTTTCTATGAGAGGATGGCGTTCTATAATTAGAATCTGGTTCTAGCCTCAGGTCTATCGTAAACTTTTATATTCGCGCGAATTATTGTTTCTGTAACTGGAGAAAGAAACCGCGGACCTGGACCTGGGGAAAGGAAGGGGGGGGAGCGATGTCGCAATACTCTTCTTTTTTCGTTTTCGGATAGGGGCCCCCCCCGGAAGGAAAACAAGCCGGCGTTGTAAGTCCAGACTTGTAAAAGGCAATGGGCGGCCCGGGGAAATTGAAAACAAGAAGCGCTGTGGCTTCAGGTGTGGCTGGGGTGGAGGCCTTCGGTAATGGGACCCGTCCTCCACCTCGAATCCCGCCCCTCCCCCACCCCGTGTTTCCCCGCCCTACGCGGACATGCTGCCGGCCCCCAAACCCCCTTTTGGGGGGCCCACCCTTTTTCTTTGGAACCCGACCCCTCTGACCCCCTTTTGGGGGAAACCCCTTCCGGGTTCGCAAAGGGGTGCTGGGGGGCCTCGCCCTGGCCTCGTGGTGCATCGGGGAAGGTACCGTGGGGAACACCCTTTTTTGGGACCCCGCTTTCTCGGCCCACTGGGGAAAGCTCCCAACACCCACGGTCCCGTCCCGGGGTAAGGGAGAAAGCGAGCTGACCCAGATAAAAAGAGTTGGTCATAAGTTTCGGCTGGTGGCAGGGCTCCAGGGGAAGCCTGTTGCACTTGAAGGCGTGAGCGTGTGAGCGTGAATATGTAGGTTGGTGTGCGTGTCTGTCTGTCTGTCTGTCTGTCTGTCTGTCTGTCTGTCTGTCTGTCTGTCTGTCTGTCTGTCTGTCAGTCTGTCTGTCTGTCTGAGTGTCTGTTAGGCACTGTGGCCACAGTGTGGCGTTTTTGTGCGTGCGCGCGACGCGCTAATGGTCGAGTCAGCACGCTGCACACGTTTGCGCGAAGAAGGCAAAAGGCAAAGAAGGCGTTTGCAGAGTAGCATTTCGTGTCGGCCCGTCGCGCCGCGTCGACGTTGTGCTGGCTGCATCAACACGAGCGACCCAAGAGGCTTTTCGTCGCTCTGTCTTGCCACAGACCCGCTGCCCAGTTCATCAAGTCAGCGCCTCCGTCATGCCCGGCCGCACTCCAGACATCATCGTGCTGCCCAGCGGCGAGTGCGGGCCGCGAGGCGGGGCGCCACAGGACGGGCGGCGCCAGGAGGCCATCCAGCCGAGCATCCAGCCCGCCCAGGAGGCGGTCCGGGAGGCGCAGCGACCGCGGAAGTCCCCGCCCGTCCTCATGGCCACCATCCCCACAGCCACCATCCCCAGGGACACCGCCACCGCCAAGCGGCTCCCGGACGCGCCGCAGCGGCGTCTGCAGACGCCGAGGAGGACTGGCGGCAGGCCTCCTTGTTCCTGCACGAGGACTTCGAGGAGGAGTGTGCCTGGCTGGCATATGGAGTTTAAGTGAGTTTCCCTCAACAACATCCATTTGCCTGTGTGCTTCATCGTGACCCTGTGTGTGCGGACGGAATACCGATACCTTGTACGCCTTCTACGTAGGCTCATCGTCACCCTTCCGCTGGAGAGCGTTGGCAGTGCCCTGTCGCGGCCCCGCGGCGGGGCCTGGATATAACGACCCGTGGGTGCCTCTTCAACGACCCGTGGGTGCCTCTTCAACGACCCGTGGGTGCCTCTCCAACGACCCGTGGGTGCCTCTCCAACGACCCGTGGGTGCCTCTCCAACGACCCGTGGGTGCCTCTCCAACGACCCGTGGGTGCCTCTCCAACGACCCGTGGGTGCCTCTCCAACGATCCGTGGGTGCCTCCGGCCTCTCCAGCGATCCGTGGGTGCCTCAACGATCCGCGGGTGCCTCTCCAAGACGTCGTCCGCCATCGACCCCCCCCCCCCTTTTCTTCTCTCTCAAAATTCGAATTATAACAGTTTGCTTTTATTCTTTGTTTAATTTGACCCTTTTTTTCTGCGGGAATTGAAGACACCAGATCATGAGTGAACAGCTGCACAAAGGAAACCGGGGCCTCAGTGCCGAAACAGTCACTCTAAATTGATTTTGGAACACGAGAAGACAATAAATTGACTTTAAAGCATAGTCACATTTTTGCACTCAGACACAGTCTCTCTCGTAGCCCTGGGCCTCGCCATAACGACCCGTGGGTGCCTCTCCAACGATCTGTGGGTGCCTCTCCAACGATCTGTGGGTGCCTCTCCAACGACCCGTGGGTGCCTCTCCAAGACGTCGTCCGCCATCGACACCCCCCCCCCTTTCTTCTCTCTCAAAATTCCAATTATAATAGTTTGCTTTTATTCTTTGTTTAATATGACCCCTTTTTGCTGCGGGAATTGAAGACACCAGATCATGAGTGAACAGCTGCACAAATGAAACTGGGGCCTCAGTGCCGAAACAGTCACAATACCTACATTGATTTTGGAACACGAGAAGACAAATTGACTTTACGTAGTCACATTTTTGCACTTAGGCACAATCTCTCTCCCAGCCCTGCGGCATGCCCATCGATTGCGAGAGAGACAGAGCGACTCCTTTGAAATAGGACCCGAAACTCGATCTCACTCTCACCTTGTCTAACCCTTTGCTCCTAAGCTAGCCGCCACAAGTTTGCAAGCTGACAACATTTGAACTCAATATTACGACACGCAACATCCCCAACGATCATGAATTTCGAAAATTGTTCCCCTTAACTTGCAATTTACTGAGACCACAGTGACACCCGAAGATCCGACCTGCAGAGTCTTTTTGCGTGGATTGAATTGAGTTGTTGCTCGGAGTGGCATGCAGTGGGCGGGGTGGGGCGGGGCGGGCGGGGCGGGGCGAGGGGGGCGGGGCGGAAGGCGGGGCGGGGCGGGGCGGGGCGCTCGGCGAGGACTGTGCGGCTGCGTGGCACTGACAAGGGTTGGAGTTGGAGGCGGAGAGGGACTCGTCTCTGCCAATGGATCACACACCAGCGGCACACTTCAGGCTGAAGGCTTCAGCCACCCGGCACAACGCGCTCGCGAGCAGGGCGAAACGTCACCGGCGAAATCTCACTCACATTAATCTGATTTAGCAACACGCGCGCGCGCACGCCCACTTACCATGAAAAATACCAAAATGCATTCCGTGCCCGCTAGGACGAAAATGCGGTAACTGCGTGCTTTTGACTAGAAATGGCGAAACTGCGTGTTTGTTGCACAAGCTGCCGAAAGTACGTGAGTTTTGACAAGCGTGCCCGAAGTACGTGTCTATTGCTAGGAGGTATCGCATTGATTTTGGAACACGAGAAGACAAATTGACTTTACGTAGTCACATTTTGCCTTAGGCACAATCTCTCTCCCAGCCCTGCGGCATGCCCATCGATTGCGAGAGAGACAGAGCGACCCTTTGAAATAGGACCCGAAACTCGATCTCACTCTCACCTTGTCTAACCTTTGCTCCTAAGCTAGCCGCCACAAGTTTGCAAGCTGACAACATTGAACTCAATATTACGACACGCAACATCCCCAACGATCATGAATTTCGAAAATTGTTCCCCGTAACTTGCAATTTACTGAGACCACAGTGACACCCGAAGATCCGACCTGCAGAGTCTTTTTGCGTGGATTGAATTGAGTTGTTGCTCGGAGTGGCATGCAGTGGGGCGGGCGGGGCGGGGCGGGCGGGGCGGGGCGGGGCGGGGCGGGGCGGGGCGGGGCGGGGCGGGGCGGGGCGGGGCGCTCGGCGAGGACTGTGCGGCTGCGTGGCACTGACAAGGGTTGGAGTTGGAGGCGGAGAGGGACTCGTCTCTGCCAATGGATCACACACCAGCGGGCACACTTCAGGCTGAAGGCTTCAGCCAGCCGGCACAACGCGCTCGCGAGCAGGGCGAAACGTCACCGGCGAAATCTCACTCACATTTAATCTGATTTAGCAACACGCGCGCGCGCACGCCCACTTTCACACACGCTCGCCACACCTACACACTCACACAGTCACACAGTCTCTCACGCACGCGCGCGCACGCACACACACACACTCGCGCGGCAGTAATGACAGTTGGTTGTGTGAGTGTGGCCGTGCGGACCGCGTGTCACGGACGTGACTGCTGGCGCCACAGACGTGACGAGGGTGCGAGATGATGACAATGCTTGTAATGGCCTGGCTGCCCGGCTGGCTGCCTGGCTGCTCGGTCCGTCCCGCTGCCCTTTCTCCAGCAGCACGTCCTTCGCCGCCTTCGCCACGGACACGGCAGCACGGCGGCGACCCTCGTCCGCGCTAACGCCCCGCCGGCCCGGACACAAAGCCCTGTCATATGGCCCGGCCACTCCTTGTAGGAGAGGAGGGCGTCCCGGCCGCCGGGCTGCTGCCGAGCAGTCGCTGTCTCTGTCGCACTCATGGGTCGCCCCGCCCGAGTGCGAGAGAGACAGAGCGACGAAACGATCCTTCGGAACCGCCCTCGGCTGCTGGGGCTGCTGCCTTTGGCTGCCTTTGGCTGCCTTTGGCGGCGGTCGTTTGGAGGTGTTTGCCGAACGCGGGGCGGCCTGCTGGCCTTCAACCACCGTGACCTGTCCGGCCGTCCGCGACGTGGGCCTCCAGGAGGGCGCGCCGCACCAGGCACCGGTGGCCTTGACCTCCGAACTCCGAAAGGAGACAAGGAGCGGCGGGGGTGGGGGGAGGGGGAGTGCCCCGGCTGGGCTGGCCACGAGCCCCGTGCCCCCGCGCGAGGGGGTGGGGCGGGGAGGGGTAGGAGGGTGCCGTGAAATAAATACCCTAGTACACCCTAAAAATCTTACAGTGAAATTTTAGCTACAGTAACCGACAGTAACACAGTGATTCCGGCACCCTGCACGAAGCAGAAATTCTCCTACAGGAATCCTTTTTCGATTTTCATTGTGAAGAAACAAGGACAAACTTTCGTAATACGAAGAAATCTGCTCATGTTTGCGCCATTTCCTTCATTCGTCGGAAAGCGAGTAGTAGCGAGCGGAGGGGCAGCGGCCGAAAGACATAATTTCGTCCGCGGCGCCGGGTTATCGAGCTGTGGCCGCCCGATCCCGGAATTCTGCGCAGCTCGTTCGAGTCGCGTCACCGCGGTGCGACCTGCCGGGCCTGCCGGACCTGGTCGACGGCGAGGTGCCAAGGGGCGACTTCCGGTGCGGCCGAGCACGCCGCCGAGACGTCGACGAGCACCCCGCCCAGCTAATGACAGCGTCCGCCACCGGGCCGCGTGTCGCGGACGGCGTGCGGCGGACCGATTCCCAGAGTCCTTTCCGTCGCTTTGTCTCTCTCGCGCTCACGTGACGTCCCGTGTAGGTGCGAGAGAGACGGAGCGACGAAAAGGACTTTCAGAGGCAGTCGCTGCTCCGCGAACATGCACTCTGCGACTTTGTTGTCCCGCGAGGACGCAGCCGGCGGCGGACAGCGCCCCGAGCACTACAAGCAGGCCGCGTGCGAGGCCGCGCCCTGCGGGGCCGGTCCGGCCTTGGACTGCCTTGGACTGCCTTGGACTGCCTGGGGCGCCGCAGGGGCGCAGAGGGGAAGGGAGAGATTCTGGAGATAGAGGGCGGATTGGTGCAGGAAGGCGAAGAAGCCCTCACTAATCGATGCCGTCTTGGCGCGTCTCGGCGCGGCGGAGGCACAATGGATTGCGTCTGGACGGTCTGGGGCCGCCGAGCGCCGAGCGGGCCGCCGAGTCGACCTCAAGGAAGAGGCACCGAGACCTCCACCCCGCGAGCGAGGGAGGGAGAGGAGTTAGGCTGCTAAAACAGCGCTGCCACAGCCCGCGCCTGCCTACCGGCCAACTATGGGGCAACTAGCCAACTTCGCTCTCGCTCGGGGAGCGGAAATATCCGCGAGTGGGCGCTCTGACTAGACGGTTTCCTGCCGGTTTGGCCTGTACATTCCACCACAGCGGGGCATGTGTCGATATTTTGTACAATGAATGTGGGGAGCTGCTTCGCATCCCCCCCTCGGTTTTGACAGTTTCGACACCGCTGGCTACACAGGAACAGTGGCCAGGCAAGTGAAACACTGACGGGAGCTCACGGGCTTTCCGAAAAAAATCCCGACTGTATACGAAAATAAATGATGACTATCGAGTTGGCCTCCCCGCCAGTCCGCCCTGCCCTGCCGGGTCCGCACGCGCCTCGGTGCCTCGGCAGGGCGACGCGTAGTATGAGTAAGGAGCCCTCGTGAGCCCTTGTCTATCGATTCCATTCCGGCCTGCGTCCTGCGCCGTACGCTCGCAGCTCTCCCGTCGCCTCGCCTTGTTTATCGGGGCCCTTCGATGCTGGCAGTGCAGGCCCGGCCGCCCGGCGCGCCCTCACTGCAAGGGTGCTGCAAGAGGCGCTCCAGGGCCTCTCTGCGCCCCGCTGTTGTCGCTGCACTACACTGCGCTCGAAGAGGTCCTCGCATCCTCATTAACCTGTTGACCCCCGTCCCTCCCCTGTTGCCTCGCGGTGCAACGTGCGTGTCGTGCGTGCATGCGACCCTCCTCGCCGACCCTCCCCGCCGACCCGCCGCGCCGACACTCCCCGCCGACCCTCCCCGCCGACCCTCCCCGCCGACCCGCCGCGCCCTCCCCCACCACAAGATGAAGGGCATAGTTAGCACCGCATTCTGCAGTGGGTGTTGTGTTGACCCGCCTTTCGCTGCCCTCGCCGCCCTCCCTCCCCGGCAAAGGCCAAGGCTGCCATAAAGCTTCGTCGAGGCTGCCCCCTCCCAGGTCCTTGCACCGCCGCAACAGTTCGCCTGCTTTGCTGGCTTTGCTGCACTCGGCTGCATGGCATGCACATGCAGGCCGAATAAGGCGAGTGGTTGTTTGTTTCGCTGTGTCGCCGCGAGGTGCGGGGCCGCCCGGGCCACGCTCGCTATCCGGGGGCCCCGCTGCCCCGCTGCAGCGCCCTGCGGGATGCCCGGGATGCACCGGCAGCCTGCGGCCGCGGGGGCGGGGGGCGGCACGG